ATCGCTTCCTTGGCAGCCAAGTAATTGCTCCGTGTGGCGCAGGTTTTCCCCCAATGTGAAAATTGCTTATTGTAATCGCTTCCTTTGAAGCAGTGAAAGAGCGAGCACGGATAGGAGGGTGCACAACAGATAAGAGGGCGCCAGACGACAGTATGCTGCGAGTGGAAAGCATTGCAGCTGCTGCAGCTATTTTTGCACGGCCCTAGTGCTTTTATCGGTATTTCCATGCATGGGAGTGTCAATCTGAAAGTGATTATTCGCAAGCGGTCTATCCTACATCTAAATGGTAATCCTTCACCCGACTTCTACCTGGGTTGTGCCTCCAACGAATCCGAGGATGGACAAGTACTCAATGGTACAGAAATTAGAGTGGAATAGCTTGATTTTACTTTCGGCATCACTTCGTTGTCCTGTGCTCCCTTCTCGGGCGATTATATGGCTCATCCGATAGGTGGTTCCCGCGAAGACGCGATCTTAGTAAGTCGTGGCTCATGATTTGAGGAAATGTTGAGGAAGACGATATACAGTAGCGGTCAAAAGTGTTCGCCGAAACGGTTTTTCGTGCTTCTCTTTTTTTGCCAGAAAAAAATCAATGGTGACCTCGAAAAATTTTCTTTTGAATATCCTGATTCTTTAAGACTTGAGGATATAAAAACACTAGAAAACATAGTATATCAATCTTTGGAGGGCGTTGCTCAAGCGAGAAAAAATAATGCACTAAAAATCGTTTCGGCGAACACTTTTGACCGCTACTGTACCTTCTTCGTAGTCTACTGCGAATTGATAGCTCTGAAGAAAGCATAAGAGAAGAGTGCTCATGGGAAACACTAGAAAATGATATACGGAGTTGAAAAATGGATGTCTTCGGAAGTCGCTCAGTATCTTTACCACTAAATGCTTATGAAACGTAACTACCTGCGCCTTCGGTTCGAAGATCTTACTATTTCTATAGATGCTTTACGTTTGACTTACCAGGAAAGGTCATTAGGCCAACCCGGCCAAATGAAATGAGGTGCACATTTCTGTACGCAGCATGAGACGCTGAACTCAAATCTGCTTTCATTATCTGCTGAACTCTTCTCTGAAAGGAGTTACGGAGGGTTTTTGTTGCCGCCCTTGATTTTCAGTGTCTTGCCTGCAATCACATGTTAGCTCCATTATAAAAGTCTCGAAAGGAAGAACCGGGTGTGGTGAGCTTCGGTAGCGCAGTTGGTAGCGGTCTTGCTTCTCAAGGGGTTACGGGTTCGGTTCCTCCCGGGTTTGGTGTTTTGCTTTTTGTCAACATAGCTGAAAAGCCTTTTTGAATCCGTTATATTATCAATGGTTGCCCGACGCTACACTACAAAGAGTTTGCAAGCAAATTCTCTTAAGCTCGAGCGCTACTTGTCTGTTAGTGCACATGGTGCCCGTAGTGCAGGTACCAGGCAAGTAGGTGCGATATTCGTATTCAGAGGATCAAAATACCCCTAGAAACGAGTTTCTCGCCAAACCTGAGGTCATGAACTAATTGAGAAAAAGCGGAGCAGTGATGGGATTACCACTCCTCAAACTCCACTTTTTTGGGTTGACCAATCATGGACGGGGAGAGGAGAGAGAAGGGGTTGTATTAGGAAATAATGCCTTGCAGATCTTCGGATGATGCAGACGGGCAAGCCAGACACAATTTTTGTCTATTCTGAAGAGTGTTGAAGGTTTGTTCTACCCCAGTGCCAGGCTTTTGTAATGGATTGGTGGATAAGCGAGTAAGTGAACTGAGCAAACACAAGATATTATCGCGAGTTAGGTCAAGATTCCAGGATCTAGCCTAAGAAATTGCCCCAAAGGGAGACGCCTGATCAAGCGAAAGCATCATAACTTGTCCGCAGCAAGAAATTTGGCGTTACGCATACGAGCGCCCAAAGTAGTGAGGAGCAATGCCGCCCTAGTCCGCTATTAATTAGATTTAGATTTAGATTTTGAATAGCCCTTAAGATTCTTTGTACTTTTAACTATAACGAAACATGTTAAACTACCGAGCAGGGTCAACCCTACGTTGTTACGAGTAACAACGGGGGGGTCGTACTCAGTTGAGCTTGGAGGGAGGGGGGTCGTACCCTCTCGGTGGCCGACAGTGGGATTCTTGGTAATATCGGATAATAGCCAGCACGTTACGTTTTCGTAAGATGACTGATACAGCATCTATAAACCACGATTCCCTCTAAATGAGCTTTCAAATGAATCAGCGAATTAGAAGGGCGCCCGAGGCGTGGCGCGCACCAAGGCAAGGGATGTAGTGCAAGCGCATGCTCGGAGCTTTCTAGCACATCCTAAATTAAACATAAAATTGGTCTTCCAAGAAGTTACGGGCAGTGAAACCTAAGAAAACTCGCGTTTTCGAGAAAATGGCTTGAAGAATACCCCTCAAAATAAAAAGTAACAACGGGACTAATTTTTGAACTGCTGATCTTTCAGGAACGCTTGGGTGCTCGTTAGAAAGCTTGAAACCTGTAGTTTATTATACCGTGTTCAGCTTCCCAAATGAATGACTTTGAAGGAAGTTATGATCGTTTGAAGGTCAAAAAGTCGCGGTTCCAAAAAAATAGTAACGCAAACCCCCAAAAAAGTAACAACGGGACTAATTTTTGAACTACTGATCTTTCAGGAACGCTTGGGTGCTCCTTAGAAAGCTTGAATCCTGTAGTTTATTATACGTGTTCAGCTTCCCAAATGAGTGACTTTGAAAGAAGTTATGATCATTTGAAGGTCAAAAAGTCGCTTTGCACAGAAAAAAGTAACAACGTACTAAATTTTTATTAAATTAACTTTCGAAGAATTTTTACCTATGGTTGGAGAGAGAATAATTTGAATTTTCCAAATCAAATCACTTCGGCGCAGAAGCTCGAATATGAAGGAAGTTATAGCCTTAGAAAGAGGGGTGTAAAAATTGTGTTGCAATTGAAGAACGTGAAGGATTTCAGTATTTCAATTGGAGCGATAATTTTTTCTGACTTCTCATAAGTTTTTATCAGGTAATATTGTCAATATTCCGGTCACTGGTTCAGTTTATTTCATCTCCTAGTTTGGTAACCCTTTGGAGTACACGGATATCTTTGAATGCATCTCATTTTTTCGTGTTTGGAAGCAGCGATGAATATCTGTCGTGGATTTTGCTAAAGTTTCATCTTTGATGACTTACGTAGAAATAAATATTGATGGTAAACACTGTCTCTACAC